GAAGCTCGTCCACCAGCTCTGATGGTGGACAACCAGCCCGCCATTGCCCTTGCAAAAAATCCAGTCCTCCATGACCGGAGCAAGCACATCGATACCCGTTTTCACTTCATCCGTGATTGTGTCGATGAAGGACATATTGTTTTGAAGTTTGTCGAATCCGGATGGCAGCTCGCAGACATCCTTACCAAGCCACTCGGTCGTCTTCGGTTTATGGAGCTAAGGACCAAAATTGGAATGGTGGGAAACAAGCAAGAACAACAGGATTAGGGGACGAATTGTAACACATAATATGCTGTTTTTCCTGGCAGCTTCCTTGTTAGTGCAACTGCAACTTCCTTGCGGCTGCAAAGCACTTTCATGGCAGCCATTTTAGGCTGATTTTTCATGACTTTTCAACTGAAGTAATTTCTAGGAAAGTCACTAGGATAGTTGCTTTTAGTTCTTATAAATAAGGATGCAATTTTTGTTTTGTAAACACACAGAAAAACTGAATACTCAATACATTGAGTTTCACAATCTTCTTCTTTCATCCTAACAGTGTCCGTTTGTGCCGGAAGCATTTTTGCTCACCTGAACAGTGAATGAGCGGGAACTAACAGATAGAAGAGGGCCGAGAAGCCATCCGGGCCAGCGTCGCTGTTGGGACCGGTCGCCGCCCAACCTAACTGAAGGTGGCGCGAGTGGGGTAGGAGCTGCCTGCTAGGTTTTCTACCTCAAAAAATGTGACCGAGCAAGCAGCCAACCTGGTGAAGATATTCCCCCCATCACTCGTCCATTAAGCCTTAGGTCAATCCCTTCGAGCAGCTCTCTTTTGCGGGGGAGGGGGGGACCTTCCTAACCTCCTCCATGTTCGGGAGGTCGCAAAGATCACCAAGGTCGACCGATTGAGGCACCCACAGAAGCTTATCCGTCTGGACACGCCCTAATAAAGCTGGTAGCACCGCCCAACATGTCCCATCAAATTTTGCATGAAAACACGCGGCGCCAGCCTACGCCCCTAGCTGACACTCTTCATTTAATGCACCGACACTTTTTTTCATATATAAGTACTGGCCCTCAAATCCGAAAGAAGGCAATATAGTTCAATCTAAGCTAAGCCTAAACGGTCATAAGCCATTCCTAGCTAATTTCTCAAAAGGATCACCTCGATCGCATTCCCTACAATCGGTCTCCCGTAGATCATATACAAAACATTCGACTATAATTCTCATGCACTATTTCTAATAAAATTTTGGAGAAACCATCTCCTTGCCAGTCGCCACAACCAATCGACAAAATCCGTGTCTCCTCTTTCATATATAAATCTTACCATAAATATATCGTAAGCCTCGATTAAACTGCCTTAAATATAGTATTTCGTAACCGTTGATGACACAGCGTCAACGGGTGGTGTCACGCAATTTTTAAAATATTCTAAACATGATTGGTATATTGGGATGACATGAGAATGGAATGATCATTCTTTTACTCATTCTTAATACCATGATTGGTATGTTTTTTAGAAAGATAATCATTTAAATGGGAATCGCAAAACCCATCTCCATGGGATTAACCATTCCATAGCTAATGCATAGTTTTCTCATTCCCATGTCTTTAGGATTCATGTTTCAAAAAATAAAATTAACAAATAACAACAAACGATAAGTATATAATATATTATATACCATGATAAAATTATATTAAGTAAAATACTTTTAAGGAGTAAAATATTTTAAAGAACAAATTTAAAATAAATAATTAAAATAATTTATTTTTTATTAATTCACATTTTATTTAGATATATTAAATATTTATATAAAATAAAATATGCATTTATACTATGTTTTAGAAAAATCTTATTTTATTTTTATATAACCATATATATTACATATTTATTCATAAATTGAATAATATTAAAAAAATATATCAGATCACATATGCTTCTAGGGATTTATTGTAATAATATATTTGTAGTAGTTAATATGTATATAAATACATAATCCACTTATTTATTATATAAGATGAGTGTAACAATAAAAATATATTTATTAAAATATAGGATATTTTTATAAAATAAAATTATTTTAATATTGTTTTAAATAAGATAATAACATTGAATTAACTTTATTTTTTATTTAAAATAGTGATAAATGATAATATAGGATGATCATCTCATTCCATTCAGGTCTTATTCATTCTTCATACCAAATACATCAATCGAAAAACTTGTTTCACTCCTTTCTCATCATCATTCAAATCCTTAACTCATTTCATTCCTATCAAATTCAACGAGATTTTTACCAAAAAAAAAATGACGGAAAAATAAAAAAATGGAGCGTATGAGGACAATAAGCCGAGTTTTAGCCGATCTCGAGCTTTTTGGAGCCGAACTATAGAAAATTATATAAAAATTCTTTCTCAAGCCTTAACGAGCCTTATCGAGCCGAGTCGAGTTCGGCTCGTTAACAAAACGAGCTTTTAATGAGCTCGAACTCGACTCGTTTGAGAACACTGATAATGAGGAGTGGCACGCAATTTTCAAAACACAGAAAAATACGCGCATTTCTAAACAAGGGGGTCGATTTAGGCTCCTTCCCTTCTACTGCGTAGCTGCGCTAGCAGGTACTACGAGCCCTCTGCCCCAAGCATCTAGCCAGCTCTTTTCTTTATCGATAAACAACGACCGCTTCTTCGGTCCGGTAAAGCTCTTGATTCACATGCCTAATTGTTAGTCTGGATGCGTAGATTTCATTTACTTTAACAAATTTTAAGAACCGATATCGGAAGGACTCGGCCACACCTGCGACCCAGTGACCGGTCTTCGGCCTACTCAAATTTTCTTAAACGTATACCATGTGAAAGCTCTCGTTTGTAGGATCATGTTGTTAGTTTTTATTTTGATTTTGGCGATTCGTGTGTGGGCGTGCTGTGTGTAGACTTGTCAAAAACAGTCTAGGCCCACGGACCGCCCTGCCCAAAGGGTGGGTGGGCTTGACCTTTCAAGGCCTGATATAGAGTGGGCCTAAAAGAGCTGAAGTGCACACAAGTTCCGACGACGCTTCCGGGGATAGCTTCTGTGAGTATGTCTGAACTCCGGCGAAACTTGAGCAGTGAACACACGCGCGCCCGTAGCCAGACACACACACACACTCTTCCGATGAGGAGAGACATGTTGGATGATTTGTTGATTTTTTATGGTAATTTTTTATTCACAATTTCTGGCTTCCAAGTTACAAGCATCCAGTCTTCTAGTACCAGGTTTTTCTATTTGTCCTAATTTGGCCATCTACAGGCCCGCCCTGCCCTGCCCCACCAAACTGTGGGTTTTTCCAGGCTGCGGGCACCTCGCCCTGCTGGCACGTTTTGACATGTCTAGCCGTGTGTGCGTTCTGTGTGTGTACTGTGAGTCCTGTATGCTTTGTGTACGCGTGTGGTACGTGGATTTAATGTTGTGTCAGAATGGAGGTGTCTGCTATCGATGGAACTTCAGTGAAGTCTGGGGCCAACTGTGAATGTAGACATGGTATGCAGTGAGACTGATTGTATTGTAGGGCTGAAATATTAATAGTTTGAAATTCACGGGTGGCGTTTTGAGATTTTGATAATATTTTTGGACGTAACTGTTATATTTTAAAAATGCCGTCTAGAATCTAGCTTTGCACAATCCGTCCGGTTTTGTGCTATTTTGACCCTCATCATGTGGTTTTCTAGTCTTAATGTGTTCATGAAATTTGTAGTTTAGTCTCCCGTCTTCTTGTATGTACAAGAATTTCCCTGTTATCTCTTTTATCCGAAAAGTTGTATTGGGAACGCGAATGTTGCGCCCCACTGGAAGTTGCTGTCTAGTTTTGCCAGAACATACTATCTGGTTTCATGTCCATTTAAAATATTAATTTGGATTTTGTGCCCTTGGCATTTTTTAGAAACAAGAATGATTTCAATACGTATTTCCTATTAAAAGTTGTGCCTCAAATTCTAACATCGCGAGTAGCTGTTTTCTATCAAATTGGCAGCAGCATTACTTCTGAGTTTTGTATCATTTTCACTCTTCTAACTTGCTCGAAAGTGTTCGAAATCTTCACAAGAATTGTATCTCTGTTTCTGATTTCACATAATTTTCAGAATCAATTGAATATCTATTATCTGGTAAACCATATGTTCAAAATATATCAACTGCACGTGAGTGGTCCATTTAGTTTTTCAGTAGCAGTGCTGTTCTGTTTGAAGGGGATTTTCAACCTTTGAACACACTCGTCTGTGTTTGATGTCTGAATAAGAGTTTTATATGTGTGTCTTGAGATTGTATTGGAGCTGGAATCACTTAACTACATGTTTTATATTAGAAGTTATGTTTAATATTACAAACATGACGCTGGGCTGCTTGCTTTTAAGTTGACAACAAGGTTGTTCGGTTTTTCCTGTATTCACCCTTGCAACATCTCGTTAGTTCTCGGAGTCATTATAAGAGTTTTAGTCCAGTATCTTATCTTTTCATTTCCTCCGAATTTAACTTGATGTTTATTTTATGGAATAAGTTGTGGTAAGAATACGGACATCGGACTCCGTCATTAAGGTTTGCATGTCACTCATATCAGGTGGGTCAAAACTTTGAAAATCACGTATTCTTAAGGAACTTTGTTTTGTTTCATGAATAGCTGCACGGGTAAAAGCTTTTATGAAAATTTCTGCATTCAACGAGAAACTTATTTCATGTTGTTTTTTTTTTT